AGTATCCACATATGGTGAGAGAACCTTTAATGTTTGTCTTTCTGGGCCTATGTTACCTCACTCAAGATGATTGTTTCCAGCTCCATCCATTTACCTGAAAATTTCATAATTTCACTTTTCTTGATAGCCAAATAACTATTCCTTTGTGTAAGTGTACCATATTTTCATTATCCATTCATCAGTTGATGGACATCTAGGTTGCTTACCTTTTTTAACTCTTTTTTTTTTCTTGTCCTCCCATTTTCCACCCCACTTAACCCTTCCTTTTCCATTATTCCCCTTTCACCCTTTATATCACTGCATTCTATCTACCCTCCCAGAAAGCCTTCCCCTCTTGGCCTCTTATTAATGTCCTGACCTCTATGCATTTTCCAATGGAAACAATCATACTTAAAAATGCAAAGTTAGTATCCACATATGGGGAGAGAACCTGTAATGTTTGTCTTTCTGGGCCTATGTTACCTCACTCAAGATGATTGTTTCCAGCTCCATCCATTTACCTGAAAATTTCATAATTTCACTTTTCTTGATAGCCAAATAACTATTCCTTTGTGTAAGTGTACCATATTTTCATTATCCATTCATCAGTTGATGGACATCTAGGTTGCTTACATTTCGAGGCTATTGTGAGTAGAGCGCAGTGAACATGGATGAACAGTATCTCTGTAGTACGATATAGCATTCATCAGTTGATGGACATCTAGGTTGCTTACATTTCGAGGCTATTGTGAATAGAGCGCAGTGAACATGGATGAACAGTATCTCTGTAGTCATTTCTGTATATGCCTAAGAGTGGTATAGCTGAATCTTGTGGTAGATCTATTTCTAGCTTATTGAGGAACTTCCATATTGCTTTCCATAGTGGCTGCACCAGTTTGCACTCCCACCAGCAGTGAATAAGTGTTCTCTTTTCCCCATATCCTTAAAAGCATTTGCCATTATTTGTCATTTGGATCTTAGCCATTGTGAATGGAATAAGATGAAATCTCAAAGTAGTTTTAATTTGCATTTCCCTGATGGCTAAAAGGTTGAACATTTTAAAACAGTCTCAGCTATTTGTGTTTCATCTTTTGAGAACTCTCTGCCTCGTTCCTTGCCCCAATTTTTAATTTTTCTGGATGGTTAGTTTATTGAGTTCTTTTTAAATCTGTATCCTTCCCTTCCTTCCGGTCACCCTTCCATCGTCCCTCCTTGCTCTGTCTTTCTCCGTCTCTGTCTCTTTCTCAGCCCTGTTCTTTTGTGTACATTTATGTCAACTTTTTCATCAGTCACTTGAATAATTTACTTTATGAAGGCTAAATCTAAAACCAAGTGGACTTTTCCTCGCTACCTAAAGAGTTCCTAGATTTTCTGACATGCTGTTGACCTCTAGACAGGCAGTCTAACAATTCAAATAAAGACTCCAGACCATGTCTCACAGATCCTGGTCAGAGGCATCTGGAAACAGCAAGACTCTCCTTGGAAATATGTGGAACACGTGGTTCATTTTTTGAGTCAGAAGTTCTATTTAGAATCATCCAATCTCTGTCACTCTCTGTACCCTGAAGAGCATATTACGGGGTCTAGAAGTGTGGTTTCACTCTCCTAGACTTCAGTTTTATTTTCTTCTTTCTTATAGTCTTGGGTTGTCAGGAGCCAGAAAAGAATATGAACTAATCAGCTCAGTTAGAGAAAGGAAGACAAGTAGCAAATTCTCCTTTCTCTCTGTGTTTGGGACACGGTTTCATCTTTCACTGCATCGTAAAAAAATAGCTGAACCAGAAAAGGAACTGAATGAGCGTCTCTGCTCTGCTCTAGTTATCTGTATAACCTTGAAATAATCTTGCAGGCTGAACTCCATGGTCTAAGGAAAGGAAGGGACTTGGACCACGTATTTCTCAAGATAATGTCTCTGGGCCCATTCTTGACTATTTCAGCACTTTTTTTCTATTAGAAAATATTTTTTCTTCTAATCAGTCTGCTGTTTACTTTTTTCTTCTCCCAAACTCTTCAGTATTACTATTGATATTATCCTCCTTTTATTTACTGGAGACCTATTTTCATATTCCTACTATAGTTTTTCCTTCCTGGGGCTATTATAACAGCCTTTAGAATGGGGTATGCTATCTGGTTAGGGACTGAGAGAGGCAGCTGTACTTTGAAGCTCTCCCTTCCCGGGTTCTAAGTGTATCACTGACATATAACACTAGAATGTGTAGTCTGAGGCCACACATACAGAAAGGTTTGAAATCTTTTATCTTTGGCTTTCTGAATGATTTTTTTTATTTTGCTTTCTTATTTTGTTTTATTTTATTTAAACAGAGAACGGACATTCTTTGAAGTCTATCATGACCACCACAGATGAACCCAATGTACCAACTTCCCAACAGTTCATAGAGTATTAGAAGAAGTTTACATTTTGAAGAAGGGGAGCAAATCTAACTGTTGGTTGAACTATTGACAATTAACATATGATGAGCTTAACAGAGATGTGTAAACATGTGGCCATGATGTAGGTTTGATGTAGTTCAGTTTGGATATATGATTGATTTTCAGGGTACCTAGAATTTAAAAGTAAATCTCATGGTTTCTGCTTTTGATTTTCCTGGTCATAAAGTATTAAGAGTGTGACTGTTGCTATCATAATATATTCTATTAGATACCATCAACTGCAGTCGATAATACTGTAATTAGGTGAACTCTAGCACGGCAACTTCTTGACACATAGCTTTGCAAACACAGTGACTCCATCTCTGGGATTTTTAATGTTTTCTGGCTTCTCTGTTCCAAACTTCAGTCAGGAATTTCAGTTTTCAAGTCTTGAAAGTAGCTTGTTTTAACTTTCATTTCAGTTTAAAGGAAACCAGAAGGTGTGGTCTGTGTTGGTCAAAGACCAGTGGAAGCTATGGTTCATTTTAGGATAACCCTACATACTCAGGTCAGATTCCCTAGAACAGAAAAATATCAGCCTCCAGTCCAGCCTTCTTGCATAATCTGTTCATAAATCTAATTTATTTCCACTGAATCAGCCAAGACCTCTGGCAGGCAGGGCAGGGTGCAAGGAAGGGAAACTCTCAGAGTTTTACAAATAGGTCATGGTGAGAATAGGGTTTTTCTACCTGAAAAAAGACCACTTGCCATGACAATATGAACTTAGTATAGTGTAGACATTATTGCTTATGTTCAAAGTAAACCAAATTGATAAATACAAATAATATTCAAATTTAAGATACACATGGGTCACTTAGAATTCATTGATACTATTTTTTGAAGCCTAAAATATCTCTTAAAACAACAGGAAGATTATGACTTGTTCTCCCTTCATTGACTATAAATACATTATGTTCCCATATTGTCATAAAAAACTTCAAAAATTATATCCATAGAGGGAAATAAATTTTTAACAAACCTACTTTTATGAAGTTTCTGGGCCATTGATAATATATAGTTCAATAGAATATGGACTTTTGATTTCTTAATAATAGTGAAGTCTTCCATTTGAAAACTTCTTTCTAAGATGGACAATCCTTAATATTCACAATTAGTTACTCATTATGGAGTTTGAGAGAGCATGAAGTACAGCAAACAGGTCATTTGAGGAACACATGTGAGCTCAGCTGTATGTTGTGTGTTATTTGTATATATATTTTTCATATCGATAACATCCAACTCATTTATTTAGTGATCTTGGTTGCTAAGTTCATTTACATTTGAGAACAATTCAAAGATATATAAGTAGTAGAAACCTTAAAAATGATGAGACAAATATTTGTAGAAAATCTAAATCTATAGATTTCTGTCAGAAGCAGAAATTGCGATAGGAATGGTTTTCTCATATATTATTTGGTAAATAGAAACAGCATCCACATTTACTGTGCTTGTCATTCAGTATTTGAATACTTACACAAGTCTCTTTCATTGTTATTATATTTAGTCTTTGGTATATTTATTCCTTTATGGTTTAGTTACTAACATATATCAGTTAGGAGTTTTCAACTGTGCTATTGTATTCTGTACGGCATATACTAGCCGTTATGAAGAACATTTGGCTGTACCACCATCTCAGACAGAAAATCTGAACTTACTCTTAGTCTAAAAAACCGTAAAATTCAAGTTAATTTACACGTATGATATATAAACTGAACACATTTTCTATTCAGTTGTGTTAATTTTTCAATGGGATGTATCCATGGTATTTTTATTTTGCATTTTAATGTGTTGACATTGTTTGTATTGAGCTTTTGCATCCAGATTCTTGATTTGTAGCTGCTTGGCAGAACTTTGTTGTATGTAACCATTGTTCTTATAAAAACATGATGTACATTTGTCTTGTGTGTTTGGTTTCATTCCACGTGTTCTACAGGACACTTTTTTCATGAGGTTATTTTCAGATCTGTTATTGTCTCTCTCACCCGCATTGTTTTCAACAGGTAGGTATCATCTGTTGTTATTTTCAAGTAGCCTCGAGCAGCTTCTTATTAGGACCTGAGCCTGGTACATTCAAGAAGTCACAATTACTTTGCCTTTGTACCTTATTTTGTGTCATAAAATAGTTCTTATCACTATCTTTGGACAAACTGTTTTGCTCATTTCATTTCATTAAATTTTTAGTTTGTAAGAATATAATTTAGTATAAAATAGGATAAATTTTTCAGAAGGTAGCATTTTCCAGTTACAGAAACGGATCTCTATTGAGAACTAAGCATTTGTAGATATATCTCATTATTTGTAGCCATGAAGCAAGTGTTAGGTTCATTAGGAGAGATGAAGAAACTGAAAGTCAGATAGGTTAATGTATTTATGTTCATAGAATTTGAAGAGCTGGAGTCTGAGACTGTTTGACTTTTACACATTTAACCTGCCTCTCCCGTCCAGCTTTTGATGTATCAGGTTTGATCCAAAACTAGGTAACTTATGGTTGCTTTATGCCCTTTATTTTTAATTTTATTCACTTGTCCTTTTGCAAGTCCGAAGCAAAAATTGTACTAAGACTGAGCATTAAAATGTGTCTTTTCTTTTAGCCTGAAACATTTGAGCATCTTTTTACCAAGCATGCAGAGTCAGTGATATTTGGTCCTCTTCTTTTGGAGCCTGAACCCATTTCAGAAGATATCAGTGTCGATACATCCTGGAAAAATAAAGATGACATGGTACCATCAACTATGGCCTCGCTTCTTCTGACCACTCCAGATCTAGAAAAGGGTTCTGTTTGTATTAGTAACCAGTGTAACAGTGGTCACTTCTCTGAGGCTGAGAGCACCCAGGTAACCTGTGAGGATGAGTGTCGCAGACAGCCCTCAGTTAAATACGCAACACTAGCCAGCAACTCCAAATCAAGTGAAACCGATGAAGAGCAAGGGCTTATTCGTAGTTCTGTCAGTAAACACTTCCCTAGCAAACACTTTCCACGGAAAGATTCCTTTTCCGACAGCCCTTGGGAGATAGAGACCCAGGCGTTTTTTATATTACCAGATCAGCAACCCACCATGATTTCACCACACCTCTCCCTCTCAGGATTGGATGAGCTTTTGGAACTGGAGGGAAATTTCCCTGCAGAAGACCATAGTGAAAAGTCTGTCTATTACTTAGGGGTTACCTCAATCAAAAAAAGAGAGAATGGAGGATTTTTAACTGATGAGTCAGGAGTGTTATGTCCATTCCCAGCCCACTGTTTATTCAGTGATATCAGAATCCTCCAGGACAGTTGCTCACACTTTGTAGAAAATAATTTCAGTTTAGGAACCCCTGGTAAGAAGACCTTCATACCTTATATGCCCCAATTTCAAACCTGTTCCAGTCACACTCATAAGCTAATGGAGACCAAGATGTGTGACCTCACTGTGTAATCTCATTCAGGAAAGCTTCAGGTTTGTGTTCCAGTGGGTTGGATGATGTGTAATACTCTTTTACTGTTGTGGACATGGGAGAGAAGTGAAAATTTCAGAGTCTCATTTGAAAATGACTTTTCAAGCAAATTTTGTCTGTCTTCTCTCAGTAATGTAGACAAAACATATGAGAAGGCCTTCATGAGTATAGCAGTGCTGGTGGATTTTTCTGCTGATTCTACTCACATGCTATGCTGGGAAGGTCTCTTCTTTCTAACTAGAAATAAACCCAACCAGCAGCATCTTCTGTGAACATCAGACATCTGTAGAATGAACTAATTTCTGTAATACACTAACACCTGAAAGAAACGCTTCAAACTAACATCTATGACATATACTTGCTGTTTTAAGGGTGTGTTCGTCTTACCTTAAACTGTCTTGAGCTGTGCTATTTTGCACACTTATATGTCAAATTTAAACCAAATAGGTATCCTTGTGTGTTTTGAAAGTATGTGACATGTTTGTGTTTTGTGCTACCTGACTGTATCCTGACTGTATTATTTGAAATAGGCACTTCATGAAATGTTGACTATAAGTAGAGAATTTGACCCTGGTCTGAAAGGTTATGCTTTTGGAGACTGACAGGTTAGCTAATCATTATGCACTAAGGCCAAGATCCATGACAGGACAGAAACCATCTCTTAAAATGACAGTACCTATAACCGTGTGTTGATGACAACACGAGCAACTTTGCCAACTTCAACTCTCCTCTAAAGTTTATCAAAGTGAGCGTTTTCTGATAGATTGCCATATTTCAGTGCACACCACTCTAGAATCATCGTCGCTCTCCATCTCCTCTGGCTTGGCATTTCCCACTCACTGAACAGTCTGTCCTTGCATAAACCAACCACTGCGCGTCATAGGTTGGAAACTAACTTGGTTGCTGCAGTAATTGTGTGAGATGGGTGCTGCACACACCCAGTATATCGTACACCAAAAGCAAGGCAGTTACATCATTTGCCCAAGGACCAGAGTCAGTGATTGATGGGTAGAATTCAGATTTAACTCACATTTTTAACGCTACCAATTATGTTTTTCAACCAATATCTTGCATTTCTGTTCATAAAAATGGATGTCATCATAGAGGATCCAGTAAGGGAAAACAAATTCCTGGGCGAATAAAAAAGTGAGGCCTCCATAGATCTAGTCTTTGGCTTTAAAATCAATGTGGAATTACTTATTTCAGTTCTTGGTATGGTAAGAAAATTCAAAGACAGCCTATTAGGTACAAATTAGGTCAAGAAACCTACACATTCAGATGTTCACTGGCAAGAAGCAAGAAGCCCAAGAACATCATTGTCATTCAAAATAAACACTCCAGTGCTTAAAAATAAGCTTGTGGTTGCTAAATATCATCAGAATCTCATACTAAAATGAAACTGGATGGCTGATTTTGCTGTTAGCCTAAGTAAATCCCTCCATCCCATCTCTGCTTCAGTCAGTTTTATGAAACGAGCAGTTCTTGACAATAACAAAGGTCCCAAAAAGAGACTTTAAATGCTTTGTGTTTGTTATTCAGAAGTGAATGAAGGCCTCTCATGTCCTGAGTTAAGATGTCTCTGGATCCCACATGTGACTAGTTACTGTCTGGTAATGAGAAGAGAGAGGACCTGTGTCCATTCACTAACCGGTGTTCTCTGCAAAGAAGGGGAGGAAAATTCCACTGTAGTGCTGCAGGTCTGAGTTAAAGGAATTTAGGGACAGCAAATTAATCTGAGCTTGTGCTGGGACAGTCTTGGTTCTCAAAACAAGTTAACAGAAAACTTGTGTCAGAACTACTGACGTCCCCAGGCACTTCCAAAGCAGTGGCTGAGCTAATAGAATTTGTCCTACTAGCATATATAGAATTAGATTGTATTTGTTGCCAGTGAGCTTGAATTCTGACTTCCACTCTTGAAAGTTTATTTCATTATTGTTACATTTTAGTCACTGAATCCCTGTGAAAATTATCTGCTACTAAATAGAGTTTTGCAAAATTTAGGGGAAATGCAGTGCTTTTGAAAAATATTTTTATTTATTATTCTTATTTTAGGTGTATGAGTGTTTTGCCTGCGTGTGTGCAAATGCACCTGTGTCATGCAAAGCCCTCAGAGGCCAGAAGACAGTGTCAGGTCCCCTGGAACTGGAGTTACAGATGGTTGTCAGTTGCTTTGTGGGTGCTGGAAATCAAACCCAGGTCCTCTGGAAGAATAGCAAGTGTTCTTAACTGATGAATGACCACTCCAGCTCCCAAATGCAGTGTTTTATACTTTAGAATAGTTTCCCCTTCCCAAGGCTTCTGTAAATTTTATCAAGAGATCATGGAGCCCATTATGGGCATAGGGTATTTATTTTATTATATTTAAAATTTTTTTATTTGTTATTGGTGCTGGGGAACTGAACCTAAAGCCTCACATATCTGGGAAGTACTCTTCCCAGTGAGATACATCCAGCCTTGGACTTTTAAACTTGTGATAAATCTGTAATTTTAAATATTTCGTTTAAAGGCCTTACATTGCAAAACAATCTATCTATTAAATCTGAATTTCACGAAAAAAATAGAATTATTTGAGCTTTGCCTTTAACTAAAACAAAGAGAAGATAAATCATGTGTCAGGTTTTAGTTGGATTTGATGTTTCCTAGATTAAAACTAAAAGTCTCAGGAACAAAGATGAAAAGCAAAACAAAACCAGCAGCCCATGGCACACGTCTCTGTTGGTGGGGTACCCTGCTGGAGCCTATTCTCCATTTATAGATGGTCTGCATGCTGACAGGAGTTATTCTTTTCTTTCTAAATCTAGTCTTCAGATAATAGAAGGATTTGGACAAAATTCCCAAGCTAGTGGGAGGGCTTGGCGTTAGGAGTCACAGTTCTAGCCTTGACCTGGCCTTGGAGTGAGAATTCATAGTCCTAACCTTGACCTGGGCTTGGAGTGAGGATTCATAGTCCTAACCTTGACCTGGGCTTGGAGTGAGGATTCATAGTCCTAACCTTGACCTGGGCTTGGAGTGAGGATTCATAGTCCTAACCTTGACCTGGGCTTGGAGTGAGGATTCATAGTCCTAACCTTGACCTGGGCTTTGAGTGAGGATTCATAGTCCTAACCTTGACCTGGGCTTGGAGTGAGGATTCATAGTCCTAACCTTGACTTCCTTGACTTGGGCTTGGAGTGAAGATTCGTAATCCTAGCCTTGACATTTCTGTACTTCTCATCCCTTTCCACTAAAACCAACTCCTTCCTTCCGAAGATCAAACACATGTTCACATTCTTTCAGTAATGTGAGCATCAGCTACTCAAAGCTGCAGGAAGATAGATCTAGGCTGTAAGAACTGTTGAGAGTTGTGCACACGGGTTTTCTCTGGAGAGTTGGCAGCGTGTTGCTGGATCAAGGAATACTGCAAACACATTCTGTGTCACCCACAGGTGGATACATAAAGACCTCTAAATTGTTTCCTATGGTCTTCGAGAGAAATTTATTGTATTTTCATCTTCCAAGGTTCATCTTAATGATGACTTAAAAAAAATACCTCTCAAGTATTTACTGAGAAAACCCATTCTTAAAATTTAAAGCACAAAATTATCTTTGCCTTGTTTACTGTGATTTAGCTGAGGTTGCACTTAAGAAAGCATACAAATGTATTTGCAAGGAATATGAGGAGGTGTTTATAGAAGGAAGGCAGCTGAGACAGTCATGCTACTCTCTTGAGCCACTGGTTTGAAATAGTAAAACACTCTGCACTTGCTGCGATGATAAGGGAACAACTAAATGCAACTGTGCTTTACACAGACACACGGTCACATGTATTTGTAGGTGTACCATGAAGTGGTTTCCATGGACGGGGTTTTATACTGAAGTATTTTTGTACAAAATTTATTAATATTTATTTTGGAAAGCTGCTGAAAATGTCTATTTTTCAAAATCAAATGAGCTTAAGATGCATGGCATTAAATTTAATTTTATGAAAATCTCTGTGGATTGTTTTAAATAAAATGTTTATTCAAAACATCTGGAACGGAGAATGAATTTGGAAGATGTTGAATTTTGCAGTGAAATTCCTATATTGTACATCTTCTACTCTTGAAATGTGTTATCAAGCACTTGACAAGGAATTCTTTCTGTTTAGCCACAAATTTGTATGACAATAAATGTTATGTGTTGAGATGTGATTCTCTAATTGTCCAATTTAATTATCTGCTTCTCTTTATGTACTCAAAGTTTTGAAAGTCACAGAGTTACCAAGTCAGATTTTACCTTCATTAAAAATTTTAAAAATTAATAGACACTTAGTAACTGTGCACATACATGTATAGGATAATACTGACAGTTCAACACATGTGAACAATGAATGCCAGTCAGATCAAGATGACTGGTCCATCCATCATGTCAAACATTTATCGTTTCCTTCTGTTTGGAAACATTTGAAATGCTCTCTATTAGCTATTTTGAAACAACAGTTTTTGTTAACCAACCATAGTTATATCATAGTATAGATAAAACATGTTTTCTTCCTAATTGATAGATTTATAAGTTGACAGTCATTTTTTTCTGTTTATTTCTAGCTTCCATTATTACTGTTGAAAGTTACCAATATTTTAATCATTTTCCTTAAATCCCCCCATCTCCCCCCACCCCCGTGTGCACGTATTTGATTTTCAGAGTTTTCTCTTTATCTTTGGTTTTCAACAGTTTGACTGTTATGTTGACTGTTATGTGCCTAGGCATTATCTTTTTACTTACTGTTTGCTTTTCATTGAGCTTTTTTGATCTGCCAGTTGGTAGTTTTTATTAGATTGGGAAAATTCTCAGGTAACTGCTTTTCAGTATCAATTACCTCTCATTTTCTTTCTTCCTTCAGAACTCTTAGTTAGACAGATATTTTGACCGATGTCTCATGTCTCTTTCCCTGTTATGTGCCTAGGCATTATCTTTTTACTTACTGTTTGCTTTTCATTGAGCTTTTTTGATCTGCCAGTTGGTA